ATCATGCAGGCTCTAATGAGATCACCGTTTTCTTTCTAGAGCTAAAAATAAAACAAAAGAAATGTTATATGTAGTTATTTTTATAAATAGATAATCCACAGAATGAGAAAAATAGTTTCAGAATAAAGAGTTCCTACAAATCAATTACATAGGCAATCCAATGGAAAATGGGCCAAATACTTGAATAGGCACTTCTCGAGAGGATATTCAAATGGTGTATATATATATATGAAAGGTGTTCAGTTTCATTGGCCATTAAGGAAGTACAAATTAAAACCACACACCGAGAAGAGTGGATAAAATAAAAAAGATGAAAAATATTAAGTGCTAGTAAAGATGAAGAGTGACCAGAACTCTTATCCACTGCTGGTGGCAATATGTTTATACAATCACTTTGGAAGTCTGGTTGTAATACCTACTAAAGTTGAACATATTCAGTATTTGTTGGTTTTTAAAGATATAACATTTTAAATGCTTATGATTAAAAACAAACAATCTTTCATAAAATAGTAGTAGGCATCATATGTACAGTAAGAATAACCCCTGAATGAGAAGGCAGAGGACCCACGTTCTAATTACTTTTTGTCCTCTTTTAGCTGGGTGAACCGGGGCAAGTCTGAGTCCCAATTTTTGCTCTCTAGGATTAATACTTTACCTGCCTGAAGGCAGAGGGATAAAAACTCTTGTGATCACTGGGGTCCTTTCTAACTAACCCTTAGATCTAAGATCCACCATCTGTTGGTACTGGGAAAGTTAAATAAAATGCTGATGATATAACTTATTTATGCCACCACTAATTTCCAATAATTTGTTCTGCTGATGTTCAATTATAAATATGGCCCCAAACACACAATAAAAAATTTCAAGGTATGTAGCAAAGTATAATCTTAATGCTGGAGATCATAAGGGCCCCTTACCTTATCTTCACCTCCAAATTGATCTCTTTGTTTTCTTGGGATTTGTTGCTCTACAGTGAGGATGCTTTTCAGGAAATGTTCCATATTGGTGAAGAAGAGAAGATCTTTGTTTTTCTTAATGTACTAGAGAGAGTGTGGAGTACAGAGTTAATGCTTTTGCTCCCATTTCTTTTAAGTACTCTTGGATTTTCTTAGTCAGAGTATAGACCTGAGAGTGCTATATATAATTCTGCTTTTAAAATAAAGTGAGATCTCTTCACAGACGGTGGTTGGCAGAGGACACATTCCAGCTCCACAGCTATCTCTGTCTTGGGCAAGTTGCTTTTCATTCGTCTAAGCCTCAGTTTCCTCATCTACAAATTAAGAATTAAAGTAGCATCTACCTAATAAGGGCATGAGGAAGAGTAAATGAGATAACACATGTAAATCTCCTAGCAGAACATCTGGCACGTGGCAAGTGTGTGATAAATGTTTGCTATTATCTTCCTCATAGTTAGCTCTAGTAGATTGGAATGCTGCAATATTTAGCATCAGGGATCATATAAATCTATTTATTTATTATCATAGTAATTGTATCAAAAGCCTACTATGAGCTGGGTACATGGGTTATACCAGGAAACCAAACAAACATCTCTGCCCTCCTGGAGCTTACATTCTAGCAGGGGAAGAAAAGCAATAAACAACAAACATAAGTAAGTAAATTATGTAGTATGTCAGGAAGTGATATAGAAAAAAATAAAAGTAGAACAGAGTAAGAAACAGCTGATGAGGAGGGGATAAAGAGGGTTGCAAATTAAGATAGGCTAGTAGGGTAAGCCTCATTGGGAAGGTGACACTTGAACAAAGACATGAAGGAGGTAAGGGAGTCAGGCATTATCTAACTTCTTAGACCAGGGTTTCTCAACCTCAGCACTATTGACATTTTATGGACAATTTTTTGTTGTTGTTGTGGGGGCTACCCTATGCATTGTAGGATGTTTAGCAGTATCCTGGGCCTCTATCCAGGATACCACTAGTTGACATCAACCCCTCTCCTGAGCCAGGACAATAGAAAATGTCTCCAGACATTGACAAATGTCCTGGAGGTGGGGCTGGGGGGGGAATTGTTTCTGGTTAAGGACCACTGCCTTAAAAGAAAGAGTGCTGTAGACAGAGGGAGCCCTTGAAAGGGGAGTGTGCCTGGTATGTGTGAAGAAGATCAAAGAGGAAATTATGGTTGGAGTTGAGTGAATGAGGGGAAGAGTAATAGGTGAGGGGGTGGTAGACAAGGGGACTGGGCTCCTTTGGCTTTACTCTAAGTGAAATGGAGAGCCATAGCAGGATTTTGAGCAGATTTGATATTCATTTTAAAAGGATCATTCCGACTACTTTGTTGAGAATAGACTGAAGAGAGGCAAGGTTGGACTTGCCTCAGGGAGACCAGGTAGTAAATGTTATAGTAAACCAGGAAAGAGATGATGGCGGCTTGTGCTGGGCTGGTAGCAGTGCAGGTGATGAGAAGTGGTCAGATTCTGAATATATTCTGAAGATGGAGCAACAGGATTTCCAGATTGATTGGTTATGGGGTGTATGTAACACAGAGAGAGAGAGTTTTCAAGGAAGACTTTGGCCTGAAAAACTGGAAGAATAGAATTGTCATCAACTGAGATGGGGAAGGTTTTGAGTGGAGCGGGTTTGAAAAAACACTGTTTTGGGACATGTCGAATTTGAGATGCTTATTAGACATCCAGATGGAGATGGCTCATGAGCAGCTGGATGTATGAGCTGAGTTAGAGAGTTGAGTTAGGGCTGAGATGAAAATTTGAAAGTTACTGACATATAGATGGGATTTAAAGCTGAAGACTGGATGAGATCCCCAAGGATAGTGAATATAGACAGAGAAGAGAGAGGACAGGACTGCATCCTGGCCATCCAACACTAAGAGGCCAAGGAGAGGAGGAGGGATCAGCAAAGGAGTCTGAGAAAGAACAGCCAGAGAGGAAGGAGGAATACCAGAGGAAGCTGGCGTCCTGGGGGCCAAGTAAAGAACATGTTTCAAGGAGTATCAAATGTATCAGATGTATCAAATGCTGTTGTGAGGTGAGGACAGGGAGCTGACTATTCTCTGTGATTGGTGGGAGCCAGCTTGTAACAATTCTCTGATCTGGATAACCAACGTCACCATCTATAACAACAAGTACAAAATAAACCTCTTATGGAGATTTGATTACAGTGAGATGTATATGGAACATTTGCTCTGGAGATCTGGAATTTAGTCTCAGATCCACCATTACAAATAGCGTCATGATTTTGGGCAAATTGCTTCATCTCTCCTTAAATATGAAATGTGATGAAAAATATGTGTTCCCTATTTTGCAGGATTGCTGGGTGGATCACATGAGACAATATATATATAAAAGTTCTTTGAAATTTTAAAAGTTTAATATAAATAATGAAAAGACGATATGTTCTTGTTTATAATTTAAGAATGAATTGACCTTTAATGGCCTTTTTAAGATCATAGATTTAAATTTTATATTTTTAATAGTTAGAAAGCTGAGATGATAATATTCTCATAAAACTGCTTTAAAAAAACAGTATTAAGAATGCCACTGTGAAGCTTGCACAGAAAAGAGCACACTGTAAGTTTAGGTAAATAGGCTACACTGGGACATCTAAATTTAGTCTCTAAGTAACAGTGAGTTTTATATATGGAATTCTTACTTACTGATAACATGTTAGTGGGGCATAAGTTAAGTAACTGTGGAGCCACATTTGCAATCCCCATGCATGATTCAAAGAGCTGGGTACCCACTGTCTGCCCTGTACAATACAGAATTTAAAAAATACTGTCATATGTGGTTTGCGAAGCAGCCTGAGTGTCAAGGCAGTATACCACCTAGGGAAACCAGAAATATCTGTATAGGTCATACACTGAGGCATTTACTCTGTGAAGTCAATTTTAATCAAGACCATGTGCTACACAAGTTAAAGTTAGTTACCTCTTCTGATGACTCTGGCTCCAAGTGAGACTCATGCTTCCTTTCAATGAGTTTAGAGAGAAGATCTCTTCCTCGTTCAGAGATGGGCTGCTCATCCAGCAGAATAGCACTTATGCTTTGATCCAGCTTCCTGTCCTGGGAAACTGCTGACATTTGCAGTGTGATAGAGAATGCTTCCCTGAAGTAGGCCTTCAACCCCTGGTCAAGGAACAGGTGAAGGGGGCAGATCAGTACCGTTTCTAGGCAATTGCTATTACAGCTTTAGAATAATAGTTGAAAGGAAAATGGGGCTTGAGACTTATCATCTTTACTTGTCCTCACCATGGGTTACTATTGTCATTTGCAATTATGGTGAGGCTTATGTGTTGACAATGAAATAGCCAAGAAAGCTGTGATGCTGTTCTCATAGGAAGACAATTTCTTTCCAGAATTCTTACAGAGAGGTGCACACATTTTGTTACATGCTACCACAGGAAACTTGATTAGGAAAGTCCTCCTGGCCAGGCAGTAGGAACCAAAGGCCACCAACAAGACTCCAGTAGATTTGAAATGCTGCAAAGCTATAGCATTTATTATTCTGGGGAGTGGGGTCTGAGTCACAGAGAAAGAGAAGCAAAAAGCCCTGTGCACCTTGTAAAATGACCTCAGAAAGGCGGGACTGGAGTCCTGGTGGAAGTTCTCAGCAGCAATGTGGGCCAGGCAGTGGATCAACAGCAGAATGAAGTTTCCCACTGATGCCAAACACTCTCTCCCAATAAACAGTGTATTTTCAGCACTCTGGGTGGAGAAAACACCCAAACACAGAGATGGTATCCTCAGAGAACATTTCCACTGCCTCTTTCTTTTTCTAGTTTTATATAGTCTAAAATAACTTTTCAAATCATGAAGTCAGAGACTCCCTGGGCTTAATGGAAATTTACTGAAAGAAAGATTCAGATGACAAAGGAAAAATTATTTTAGTTCACCTCTCTGAATAAATCATTTTCTCCACTGCCTCCCAATTTTTCTGCTTTCCTCATCTTCCAGAAAACAACTGTTGGAAATTCAGAGCAAAATTACTCATGTATCTCTCTCTTTTTTATCAGTGTTCTCCAAACGCTATTTCCTTATGCAATGGCTCTCAAACTTCAGTGTGAATAAGAATCACATGTCAGTGATTCTATTCTTTGGGCCTCTCCCAGAATTTCATTTTTTTTTTAAAGATTTTTATTGGGGAATTGGGGGGATGGGAACAGTGCTGGGGAATTGAGGGGAGGGGAACAGACAAGTTGCTGTCCTTTTGTTCTTCAGTCTAATTGTGGAGGACGTTGCTTCACTGGCCCAAGCTGGCGCCATCATTGCGCTCTTCCTGGGCAAGGCAGATCAGTTGCCGGCTTCTGGACGGCTGCTCACTGTGGCTCCTGGCCGCTCACTCTGGCTCCCGGCCACTCACGCTGGCTGCTGGCTACATACAGTAGCCCATGGCAACCCACTGCCACAGGGGCTGCAGCCTACGCCATCGCCGGCGACTCACGACAGCCCAGCTCTAGGTTGAGCTGTTGTTCACCGTCTTAGCTGTGGAGGGCAGTGTCACTGGTCCTCATATGTGGGATCCAAACCGGGGCCCTCTGGCGTCCCAAGCCAGTTCTTAACCATTGCGCCACTCGGCCGGCCCTCCCAGAGTTTCTTGTTCTGTGGGCTTTAGGTGAGGCCATAGCATTTCCTTTTTTACCAAGCTCCCCAGGTGGTTGATGTGCAAGTTCCAAGGACCACAGTTTGAGAATCATTGTCTTAGAGGGTTCTCAGGCTCTCTTTGTCTTTCATGCCTTTATTGTAATCAATACAAAGTTCTCAAATCTTCACGTTGCCTAATTGATTTGAAATAACTCCCTGTTCATTCTCTTAAGAGGCAGTAGGTTGGCATGAAAAAGGCTTAGGTGATTTGGAATCAGACAGTTCTGAGATCTGTCCCTGGAATTGGCTGTGGGTGGCGGCACAGACTAGTAGTTAAAAAATGAGTTTGGTGTTAAATGCACCTGGACTTAAGTTTTAACTCTTGCTGACACTGTGATCTGGGCAAGTTGCTTGCCTTTTCTGGGCCTCAACTTCCTAATTCATAACATGGGGCCGGGCCGCCGTAAGTTGTAAAAGAGATAATGCATGTAGGCACATGGCCAAGTGCCTGACACACAACACTCAGTGTTTGTTTTCCCATCAGTAAAATGAGATTAAATGCTTGCCTACTTCATGGATTGCTTTGATGATCAAGTGAAACAATGGTTGGAGAGTACCACATCTGAGTAATTTTTGGTCTTCTTAAATTCCCTAACAAGCTTTAGTCAAGTATAAACCATTTTCTAATCCTCTAACATTGATTGGCAGTTCCCCCCCTCACAATCAGTGTTTTCGAATGTACTGTCATCAGTGTTTAAGGTCTATATATACCGGCTTGGAGTTTCCACCAAGGCACTGACAATCTACATATTTGAGGAACTACCAGGACAGCAACAATTTAGATCCCTTTCTGTAGAAAGATGCTGATTGTGCAGGATTTCCTGAAGCTGGAACCATGGCTGTTGTGGGAAACACCAGTCTGCAATCACTGGCTTTGATAATAATAGAGATTCATTAATGGTCACAAAGCCATTATGATTCTCTGGGCACAAGCCAGGACATATTCATTTCACTGATTAGAGAAAGCTCTTACATGGTGACATTTATTATGCCTTAGCTAAATGATTTATTACCAAGGGGGAATAAAACATGCCAGGACTTGAGAGAGAAAAATGTTTTATAGCTTTTTTTTTTTTTGCTTCTGTCTATCTTTACTAGACCCTAGCATTATATAACCCCACATCTAGAGCTGAATTTTCAGTACCTGATAGAAGAAGGAACCTTGGAAGGCATTGTCTGAGGCTTCCATAGCAGGAAGGTGAGAAGCAATCTGCAGGGTGATTTCTGGAGCCTGAAAAGAATAAAAACCAAACAAAAATAAAAACAAAACCCATCCTTTTGCTAAAAAATTCTCATGTAGCTCAGCTATATAGCACCACAAAATCAATGGGAAGTAAGTGCATTAGAACATCAATTTAAATTCTAACAGGGTAAGTTGATTTAGTATGCACTATAGGAAAGTAGAAAGAGTATTTAATGATCTGTTTGATATTTATGGTAACTACAAGAATTAGTTTACTACTTTTCTAACTATAGGTAGGCTAGAGTGGCATCAGGGCTCTCGAGCCATGATGCCTAGATTCTCACCTCGCTCTAACCTTCTGGTTGTGAAAATACTCTGTATTTTTATCCCTTAATTTAAAAATGAGACAAAAATAATAGTATCTATGTCATAGGGTTTTTGTGAAGATTAAATGAGTTAATTCATGCAAATCATTAGAACATTTTCTGCCATATACAAAGTGCTTAATTCATCCTATTTATTAATATCATTTGAGAAATTATACTTTAGATTGGTAAAATGACTCCCATCATTCTCCTTAAAGGAGAGACTAGAAAGCTCCCTGCTCCAGGTGCTTAATCCTAAGGAATATCCACCACCTCAAAGCCTCCTTCCTGATCACCCTAACCTTCTTGGTTCCAAGGATGACTGATCCACAGAGTGGCAAGAAACCAGACTTACATGGAGCTGGGGGATGAGGAGGTGCAGGATGGAGAGGCCATACTGGTAAACCACAAATTCCCTGGCGGAAAGGTCTGTGGATTGCACAGTTATCAGCTCTTCCTTCTGTAGTATCTGAGTTTTTGAGACATCCTGCAAAGAGCTTTTTGGGGCTATGGAGATCAAGAAAAACCAGTAATGATTTCACTGACTTTTCTCCACAGTAACCGTATATTAACAATAATACAATTCAGCTTAGGAAAAGGTGAATATCCATCCACCCACCCACC